CCCCTGTAATATACAACCATTTTGTTCATTTATGATTACTGTATCTCATGGCTGAAATAATGGCAGTGAAACTTCTTACACCCTGTAGATAGATATACAAGCTGGAACCTACAAACGGCAAATATTGTCAAAGAAATTCTGGGATTATTACCTTGATTTAAGAATTTGAGAGACTTTTTGGTTATCTACCACCTAAAAATGCTCTACTATGCCTTCAATTATCTCAAATTACGTACTATTGAAATTATTGAATATGGTATTATTGAATGGGGTGGAGTGTATGACAGTCACTTACAAATTTAAACACTTACTGTTCAAAAATGGATAAATATATAATAATATAATATAATGTATAAAAAAACATTACTTTATAACAATAAGTGACAGTAATTTTTTGTTCAACCCCCGGCCAAGGGTGAAAAAAGATAAAACAAAGGGGTTTTTCAAGATAACTCAAAACGGGTAAGGGCTAGAAAAAAAAGATTTCGGAAATTTAAAAAAATCATAAGCAGAAAAATGCTACACCTGCTATATATCTAAGAATGCGTTTTTGTGCCACAAATACACTTTTCGCAGTTACGGAATTTCCCCAAAATATTATACCATACCTAAGCCTAGAACTGACTTGTGCATGATACAGGCCCATGACTGTTTTTCACGGTAGTACACGCTTCAAATTTAGAAAAAAAAATAACACAGTGAATGTAGTTTGGATGTTAAATTATTACATTGTTCCTTCCAATTTAGAATCGTCCAGTTTTGAATAATGAAAAATAGGTACGTTTTCAACTTTTACCGTACATTATTAAAAAAATACGCATTCTAAACCGGTCTAACTTCAGTATCGTATGAAAAACACTAAAACAAAACTAATTGTAGAGGGTCTATGATTAATTTTAATTCTGATGGAAATGGTACAGCGTTTACTGCTCAATTTTCCTTAAAAAATATGAGCAACCCACCTGTTTTTGACGATAACTCCTTCAATTTTATTCTAATTAACTTTTATAAGTGTTCATTTTGAAGTTCTTTTTGAGTACTACAAAAAACTCCAGGGGTGTTGCACACGTAAAATTAATCCTTTTTCTGTTATTTGACGTTAAATACATCGATTCGAGTGTATTCCCCCCAAAACAAGTCCCCTTCCACTAACCATATTTCACTTTACAAAGGACGTACTTTTTAAAAAACTATTTTCTTTATTTATAAGCTACATTTTTGTTCATTACACTTTTTTTAATAAAATGCGTAGTTTTTGAGTTATTCGCGAAAAATACTTTGAAAAAATGTTTTATTTCACTCAAAATTCCAAGTTTTCAATCGTGTATAACTAAAAAACTATTGATTTCTCGAAAAAATTCTTCGAATATTTTTTGCTGAAAATTTGATTCTCTATCGATTTCCAGCGTTATTTTTGAAAAAAAAATTCCACCCCCGAGAAAGGGTGTCAACCCCCAACAGGGTGGAAGCGTCAATCGGCGCTATGTCACTATTGTTCATTGACCTTTTCTCTAACTATCTGCCAAATTTCAGTTCAGTTTCAAAGAATTCGGAGGTGAAAAGCTTCAATGACTGTACTAAAACGTGGTCAACGATAAAATTTTTTACTTCCGTATCTTGAAACTATAAACTTCAAGCTTCAGTTTGCTTTTTTTAATTGCTCTACACTGTAATAAAATGTATGGCAAAATTCCTCGAACTTTCCATAGTAACCTGTTGCCGTGGAATGTGTTCAAGTAAAATTCATGTAACATTTATGTAATATTAAATAAAACCTTTCAAACATATAAGTATTGATTATATATGGATTTTACTTGAACATTCCGTGGCAACAGGTTACCATGGAAAGGTCGTTGAATTTTACCGTACTTTTTATTACAGTGTACGACCATTTTTCGCCAAGATAGAACCTTTTGAAAATCATCAGAAAATTTAGAATTTTATTCTATCCTTTAATTTTTGTTACTAATTTATATCGTCTTTTACAATTTTATGATTGTGTTATTTTATTGACATCTATACAAATTTCTCACATATTTTCGTAAATAAACTTATTATTATATAGGTACTCGTACTTGTAAGGCCCTGTTTTATAAACAATCCATAGAAAAAGGAAAGAATTTTAAAATTGCGTATAATACCGAAGTCAGACAGAAGCCAAATTACTTTTTCAAAAGAGAAATAATTGTCTAACAAAAAAAAGGTTCCGTCCCACGTGTCCGCAGTTACATGCAAGCAAAATTCTTCGCGTATAGAATACAATGCATCGGATTCGCCTAAGGTACAGGTATTTTGAGCAATAATCTTAAATTGATGTCTTTGCACGAGCACCCACCTCCTACGGGGATCCATCGCGTGTTAATAAAGGACGATCCTTTGTTGCTACTTAAAAATGCGTCATTTAGCAATTGAACGCTGCTTAAACAAATTGCCATTATTACCAATGCCTAGTAGTACATGTTATTATACAGGGTGTAAGCGAAATATTTTGTCAAATATTGATGGCAGATCTACGTCATAAAATTCGATAAACATGCGTCCGAGAACGCTTCGTTATATAGACGCAACGCGTTGTGCAAAATTAATGAACGGATACGATTCAAGTTAAAGAAATAACATATAACTTAATTTTATTATAAAAATAATCTGGATTTTTCAAATCTAATCTCATTTTACCGATAAAATATTTCTTCAAGAAAGATGGGACAAAATTATATACAGATCTTCCTCCCTCTAGTTTTACCCGCCCCTGAATGATTCTAGTTCGTAATTAATAATGGGCAACATGTATACATTTTTTCAGATGTGTAGAAATGATCTATAAACATTCAAACATGTAGTGAAAATCCTAGAAATCTCTTAGAGGTTGTTAACTAATAATTATTCATAATATAATTAATAATAATATATCAAATAATAATTATCAAAGTTTGACGCAATATAAATGTTTTAAACTGGTGTTCTAAAGTGTTAATTCGTGACGTCATTTAGTGCGATCCTACGATCCAGAATCGAGAAGATGAATGACAGGGACAAGGTAGGTGTCCCTACCAGGTTGTAGGTGTTCTGGTCTCGGCACGACTAAATGACGGCACAATACATTCTCGATCACGTAAAAAAATTTAAGTTTTTACATAATTTTAAATATCTATAATTAATTTGTACCATTAAAGAAGTTATTTTTTTACCATTGTCAGTTACAAATTTATACAGTTCTAAAGGAAATTAAATTTTCATGCAAGCCGCCTATTTTCGCTTATGAAGGATAAAAAAGATTTTTAAAGACTACATTATATTATGGATTTTATCTTCCTCATGGTACACCTCAAGAGTTGTTGCTTTTTTGTTTTAATTTTAATTATATTCTATTTATCTATTATTATATTATATAATTATATTCCTTTTTAAAATTATAAATATCACTCATGTTCCTAGACTTAATTCTAGATTTCACTCTGCTTTACAATTACCCACACCTCGTTCCAATTTACTAATAGCATCTGTCATATATCAAATGATTTCCAATTAAGTATCAAAAGTATGAAGATCGACTTGATATATTTTTTCTTATCTTATATGTTACTTAGCTTATTTGTTTTATTTGTGTATTATTGTTTATACTTCAGTTATTTTGTCTGGATTTTTATATTTTGATTGATATATATTTTGTGTAGCACTTATATTTTTATTAACACCCAAGTTTTTTGTCTGGATTTTATAATTTGATTGCTCTATTTTGTGTAGTACTTATATTTTTATATTTAAGCTAGTTTGTATTTTTCTTTTTCAATTTAGTTAATAGTCCAGTCATTGAAGGTAAAATATGGAGTTACTATATAATTTGCACCAAAATTTGGATTTAGGTTCTACTTACCCTCTACTTCAAACTTGACCCAGTGCCGAGGATTGTTTTTTATTTTTTTTGGGTGAAAACTACCACTATTCGAAAATAATTATAGAATTGTAAATTCGAGCGTGTAATATGTTGAAATCATCTTTAAATAAGCAATTATGATGAATTGAAAATTATCAATCCCTAAAAGTCACCCCCTCTGACAGTAATCATTAAAAAATGATGTTGAAAAATATTATTCAGCAACTTGGAATAATTTGTTGTTGTTTGGCAAAATTATACGGGAATATGGTCATTGACTGGACTATAAGGTTTTTGTCTTACCTTATCCCGTAACTGGGACTTTGATTTTGTAAATTCTAATAAAAAGAAATATCTGTGCAAATTTTAATTGGTTTTGTAGTTGTCCAGTGATGGGCAAACCAGTTACACACTTGTAACGTTACAGGCAATATAGCTCCAGAAAAATTCCGTTACTTTGTAACGACGTAGTTGAGTCAGTCTGAAAACTGTTAAATACCTCGAGGACGACACATGTTGGTCTCTCTGCTTTGTCAACCTAATAACACTGAATACACTCTCACTACAGGGACGGCACTGGCTTGATAGAATTGACTTCTAAGTAAGCAATTTTCTACTTTTTGACTATTTCTGTGTTTATATCCGTTTTTGTGAACTTTTGACACTGCTTTTTAAGCTTAGCTGTATGCTGTATCCTTTAGAATCTTCGCCATAGGCACAGAAGGACCTAAGCAGATTGGAAACTAGATGACTGCTTTAAGCCTCTAGCAGTGCGCTTGCAATAAATTTTTAACTATGTTTTGAAATTAAAAAGTAAATCATTACTGCAAATGATTACAATATATTGGTACGTCACAAGTAAAGAGGTGCTATACAATGCTGATACTTAGTTAAAATTTGATTTCCATCAGTCCGAAAAAAAAACTGGTTTTGGTTTTTCCGGATTTTTGCAACTTTCATGTGGAACCTTTAGTATAACTTTATACATTATTTTCCTCCAATGGCTTGATTTCAGGTCCTGTATTCATACTAGCCAGAGACATCCACTCTGGTTAATGAACTGCGAGATATCAGAGTCGACGTTTGATCACCTCGGGATGGCTCTGCAAATTGTCAAAGCAACTAAAATCTGCTTTACAGGAATGATTCGCTAGATGCCCTCAAGTATCATCAACTCTTTTGGTTAGGTTTTCCACACATACGAGCTCTACAAAGAACTTCGTAGGGTCTCGTTCCTTTTGCTAATAGTACTCTGTTACTGTCAATTTTAATTTTCAATTCTCGCGCCATGGTTTGACCGAAACTACACACAAGTGCACAAAGATGACTTTTAAATTTAAACAACAGTAACTTTTTATTCTTTATCTCTCGTAATAGAAGTTACGGCGTTTGATTTGAAGCAACTTTATAAGTAATTCAATCACATTTCATTATTGCTTTTATTTTAAAAATAAAAATCATATTTACAATTACTCACAAAACAATATTTTCAAAGTCTCAAATTACTTGCGTCGGAATAAATTTACACTAAAGTCTGTAAAAGAATCGTTCTTTCATTTTGAATAAAACTTATCAGCAGCTCATCCAGCCTTTCATTGTTCCTTGCGATCTGCCTGCGAATTGCCTGCTTAATCTCTTCTTTTACCCCTTTATCCGATCCTCTGGTGCCTATCCTTCGTTGCCTGAAAAAAATCAATTAGCACCAATTTCTATACTTTTTTATGCAGGGCATAACTTTAAGTGGGGGTCAGTGTTTTAAGAGTAATAGAACGTGTTTCCTGGAATACTAATCCGAAATTATTTTTTTTTTTATGAAATAAACATTCGAGGTATGAAAATTACTAAAAAAAATCCAGTGTTCACGATGGAATTTGATTCTGAAGATCAACGGTAGCCTATTTAAGGCACCCATTCAAAGTTAAGCCCTGTATATTACCCTAAATGTGGTAAAATGTCCAAGTGAATTTGACCGCCCTGACTCGTCCATAGGTACGTGATTTCTTCCAAAATATCCACATTTATTATATAATTCTGAAAAGAAAAAAATCGTCTGATATTGCTAATCAGTAGCCACCGCATTCACTCACCTGAAAGTTATGATACTGAAACGACCTGTGCTGCTGAATCAGTTCCAAAAGGGGAGGTACGAAATCTTCTTCCTGCGGCCAATCCAGTTGGACCAATGCAAATATATGGCCGATCGACAGTTCGTTGTAACTATGTTTTGCCATGTTTTCCTTTAAAAAAAATGCAATTCCTTGTATGAAACTGTCAGATTTGGATAGAGAGAATTACTAAGCGACTAGAGATATATGAGATCGAGTGATGACAGTCGAGAAACTAGTCACCTTATTCAAGCTTGCTTATAGTACTTCGTTGTAGGTTCGTTACCATTTTACGCCATCTGTTGAAAAACAGCAGGAATTTATTCATCATCCCTATAGTTAAGGCTCTAGGCCAAGTTTCATCAGGTTTGTTAAACTTCCGTGATATTTTTGTAAATATTATATGCGGGGCCATTCACAACTTATTCAAAAAGATTTGGATACGGTGCATTATAAGAAATGGAGTCAATATCATAAAAAAAATATTTGTAAAATACTTATTGTTTCCAAGAAAAAATTATTGAAGTTGTAGTATTTTCAACCTTTACATCGCTGGGCTACCGTAGTCTCTAGCGTTATTCGCGTTGTGCGCTGTGCACAATGCGCTCTTTCTCCAGGTGGCTTCAGGCGATTCCGAATACTCAAATCCGATTTAGTATTAATGTTTTTGTGATAGTATTTACATTAATAATAATAACACTTTATTTGTCCAACAGTATAACCATTTACAGGACAATCCAATACAAGTATTAAAGTGAAGAAAGGGGAAAAAAACAATACCTAATAAGCTAAGCTAACACCATTACGTAAGAGGGAATGTAAAAATTTAAGCGAATTACATTAGCTTTTCTAGTGTCAAAAATGGCTTACATGTTTAGCAACTCACGAGTTGATGGATATCGTTTTAATTTAGACAACATGGGTAAGACAGGCCCAAATGTGTTTACACGTCGGTGGACATGGAATTTTGAACAGTTGTTGCACACCTTAAGACCACAAATTAATTTTATTAATTAATAATAACAATAGCAGCAAAACCAGTTGAATTTGCTGAGCAGATGAATTTTTTTTACACTTTGCCGTCATACCGGTCGCCGACTGCGTGCTTTGCCTTGCACATGGTCAGGTTTTTAGGCAGTCGAGGTCCCGTCGCATTGCGGTCCCTTCTGGGCTGAGCTGATTGCGGTCTTTTACAAAATCAGTTGCATTTGGTAATCGTACACAATCCTGCTCAAGCTCTTCTTTAAATAGTCGAGGTATTGTTTCAGTAGTAAAAAAATGAGTTATATGGAAAAGGAAGCTCGTCTGGATCGCATCGCGGTCTCCCAAGATTCTTTGAAGAATATTGGTGGAGAAAGCGATGCAACGCAACGAGCTCGGGAAAGTCTAGTGCAAATGCATACATTAGAAAACATGGGAAGGAACTCCACCGGGCGCGATCGAGGCTAGCACTCTGCTTTACAGTGGACCAGTTTCCCGTGCCGTGTAGAAGTGCATTTTTAAATAATTTTCGAACTGCCCGTTTTGATTTTTTTTTTAGATAAATTTTAAATCACCCTATATAGTAAAATAGGTTAATACGAATTTTGTTCTTAAAATAATCGTGTCTGAAATATTTTTATGTATTTAAGTTACTTCCTGTAATTTTTTAAATATTTTATATTTTTTTGTAATTTGTAAAGAAAAAATGTATAACTTTTATTTAAACAAAAGGAAATATGTATTTTTGTTGTATTACTAATTCCATATTTTTATTAAAATAAAACTTGCTCCGAAAAATATTATTTTTTATAACGAATCATAGGTTTCTTGCAAACCATTTGCGACGTTTTGTTTACACATATACGTTCGCTAAAAATATGCAACAAAATGTGTGATTGCAGCCACAAAAATTTAAAATTTAAAATTAATAATTTGCACTTGTGAAAACTAATATGAGTATTCAGAATATCCCTAGTATCTAGCTTTTACCTGAAACTGAAACCACAACTCTCCACTAAGTCTGTGCCCTTAAGAACTATTTTGCACCAATTTTAAAACATAACACACTTACTTTAATACACCTCAGAAGTATTTTGACCAGGTACTGTAAAATCGTCAGTTTTGTAAGCGGCAAATAATGCAGATGCTTTTGGGTTCCTCCTACAATTAAACTGTTACTCAAATTGCCCAAATTACTCATCGGCAGTAGAGGAATTGTTAGCAATATAGGTTCCAAACAAGACTGAAATGAAAACAATTTCTTTGTGCCTCTGTGTAACTCTAATTTAAAAAATTACTCACACTATAATTCTTCTTGATATACAAAATGCTTGAGATCCTTAAATATCGGTACAGCAATAAAGCTGGATCGGTAATCTTCTGGAGGAACATCAGAGCCTCATCGTACAATCCTTTATATAGAGCGTAGTCTATGACGAATCCAGACAACAGAGGGTCTAGCTTTAAATGTGCATTCATCTTAATAAATTCTGAAATTATAAAATGTAGAGACTATTACATTGATACAGAAATTATTTTGCATCCGATAATTATTACCCCTTTGGAGATTTTCTGATGAATTCAGCAGGTCCCAACAATTAACGCAAACCAAGAAATTGCTGTGAATATACTTCAGCTCGGGCTTCTCTACGGTTATGTAAGGAACGGTTGTATGTACCACTTCACCGTCACTTTTTCTTTTTTTACTCTTTGGTTCAGTTACAGGATTGGGCAGAGATGGATCTGCAGAGAGCAATAATTAAGTTGAAGTAATTTAATTAATTTTGATCCATTTACAAGAAAAAATTACTCAATGTAACTCGCATACAGATATTTTGATTTGTTGAATAAATATCGGGTGTCCCAAAATTCACGCAAGATTTGAATTTTGTGCCAGTTCAAGGTTATTAAAAATGGAACGCTACACGAAAGAAAAACAAGTTTTCATTGTTGAGCAATAATTTAAAAATAACTACAATTTGCAAACTACAGCACAATTTTCATACAAAATATTGAGAAATTCGGGGAGACTGGATCAATTAGTGATGTTAAACGTTTTGGCTGTCCTTCAACAAGTCGCTCAACACAAAACATCAAAGCAATTCGTGAGAGTATTATTAAGAGTCCAGGTCAAGAACTGGACATTTCGAGAAGCTCTCTACAGCGTATTCTCACGAAAGATTTGCATCTTCATACTTACAAAGTTCAATTGACTCAAGAACTTAAATCTACGCAGAGCGAAGAGATTTCATTGAATAGGTTATGGAACAAGTAAATGCTGATTATTCAAACAAAATTACCTTATTTCATTTTTGCCTTGATGGTTTTATTAATCAACAAAATTGTCTCATTTCAGAAATAAATGCACCTACATGTCACTATTTGGTGCAAATTTTGGGCTCAAGGCATCATCGGACCAGTCTTCTTCGAAAGTATGGCTGATTAAGCAATAATAGTTAAAGGTGCTTGTTATTGCAACATGATAATCCAGTTTTTTTGAGCCTAAATTGCAAGATATGGACATAGACATTGCCACATACCATACGGCACGAGAAATAATTTAATTATTGCACGAGTGATTTTTGTGACATCCAATAAATTTTTTGCTTGTTAAATTTCTGCATAAGTTTTTTAAACAGAACACCCTATATGCAGTGTGTAACTTTAAATAGGAGTCATATTCTCAGTGTGCAACTACCCAGTAACGGCATAGACAAAAGTTTAAGTGAACTTTAAAAAACCAATAGAACATAACTATACATTTAAAAAATATATACTAAAACACTGACCCATACCTGTAAATGCTTCCACCAGTAGGTAAGAAGTGGCAATTTGACCAGGGCTTGACTCTGGAGTTAAACTTGCATTGTACTCATATAAACAATAAAGAAAAAAGATCGCTAAACAAAATAACAATTGTTTATCTTCCAGTGGATAGGTCTTCGACTTCGACTGACAGAAACTTACGATCTTTTGCCAATAACTTTCCTTGGACCTGGAAAAAATAATAATAGACATTGTTTCGACTACATTAAAAAATATATTACCAGTTTGTTGTAAAATTTGTCAAATATGATTCCCAATTAAGTTGTTTTCCAATAAACTCCATCACACCAAACAGTTTTATCCAAGGATCTTCAATTTTTGGCTCAGTCTCCTAAAAGTCTCATTATAAACACAGTCTACATTCATATATTAACACAGTACTTTAATATAAACTATATAATAACGTAATGATTAAATTGACTGCAATTATTAAATGATATATACCTGTATAACTGTAGTACTGAGGCCTAAATAACACAAGTAAAACTCAATAGCTTTATGCAATAATTTGTACAATAATTTTGAGGTTAAATCAATTTTTATGTTCACATTAGATAGAAGAGGCAACAAATCACAGACAAGTAACTTCCTGTAAGAATTTACAGGGAAATGGCCATCGACGCTATGCTTTTCTGCACTTATTAAGGTATCTACTAGACGAGGCTAAAAATAATGTGTTATTAGACTGCAGCAATATTAAAAAAAAACATACTCCGTAACTTGAAATAGCAGTAGGAAACCTTTGTAAAAGTAAAAGTAATAATCTGCAATGCTCCATAGTATCCTCACAGTGATCGGCTGTGAATAACAGAAGTTTATGTTGTACTTCTGTAAACATATTTTGTCAATAAAATAATTTTATTCCTAAAAATCCACTGTACTTACCTGACGAAATATGTCTAAACATTTCGCATAAAAACTGCTTTTCCGAATCATTAGTATCTGATTCTGCTCTTAAAGCTACAGTAATTTTATCTATTTCTTTCCATAATTCTGGCTGTTGCTGGAATTTTCCTATCCTGGAAATCATTTTCATAAGTTATTTTTTTTATTGCAAAAGTTAACTTACAAGTCACTAAAACATTTAGCTGCCTCCTTAATGTGGCCAGCATTCTTCTCTATTAGATACGCTTCGAACTAAGAAACAAAAACATTTAATTATTTTATATAGATACACACAAATACAGTACTACCTGTACACCAAAATTATTAGGGTATAAAGTTTTGGCAGTTATCATCCAAGCTTTAGCTGAAACAGGATTTAATTTTAAAGCATTCTTTGCCCTTTCTATCACATAGTCTTCATCTGATATTTCTAAATCGATTTCCATTATTAAGTTTGAAAATATCTGTTGACTATAACCTGCAGAAACGTTTAGCTTTATTTGTCACTTTTGACTTTGACAGGAGTGAAAGCAGCATACACAAACATAAAATAGAGCACATGAGTGAAGCACAGGTACGTATGTACCAAAATGCATAGACCAATTATACTATATAAAGTGAATCTGTAGTATTGTCCCAGGTTACAGTCTCTGTTCTGTGGTATTGTATTGAGTTTGTTTGCAGTTTCCGCATCTAGCGCGTAGACCACAAACTATTTTTCTTATTGAAGATTGAACTCTTTTTATAAAGGATTTTTAATTTTTATAATGCTGTTTATATTAAACTAACGCTATTAATAACATATAAATGTAGTGCACACTATAAGTTATTAAATAATAATAACAGAATATTTACAAAATTATTTATTTTTAAACAAGAACTCATAAAAGAATTAGTGATTGAATGAAATATTGTGGCAGAATCGCCTCATTTTTTACTCAAATATGAAGAAATTTTTTATTCCATTTAGAAAATTTAATTCTGCACGATTCGATGTCTTCAACAATTAATCGCCGCACTGAATATGAAATAATAGCTAATTAAATAAATCTGTCGAAAACCCCGGAAATAACTATTAAATTCATAAATATAACGTGGCTAATAATCTTAGTAAATATACCATGTATTAGCGATTGAACAAAATATTGTGGCAATTGCGTTTTTAAGAGAATATGAAAAATTTCAAGATTCCGTCTAGGAAATTTCTGTTCTATATAAGCCATTTCTTCAACAATAAACCATACTATAATGATATATTCAAATCAAATAAACTTGTCAGAAGCACACGGGTAGTAAATTCATATTAATAAACGGTTGCTGATTTACAATAAGTTAACCCTCAATAAAAATCATAAGAGTATACACTATTTTTGCAATAAATTAGCTGTTTTCTTTTGCTCTCAGCTTTGCATCATGATCACTGAATCAGGATCAAACAAACACGAACTAGATCCATCAATCAAATTTAGAAGAGAACAGGATTTTGTTTACTGTTGGTATTTGATTTGATTTTAAATATTGTTTAGGTAAACCTATTCTTCTGTGCACAATTAAAATAAAAATAGTAACTTCCTTCTTAAAGAAAAAAGAAACCACCACAATTTTAAGGTTATATTAAATATGTGATCGTGAGCAATAGTTCGAATCGCAGAAAAAGTTTGATTCATAGGGGAAAGGGGATTACTGATCCTGATCATATAATCTGGCATGATCCGGAAACAAGAAAACAACTACGAACATGTTTTTGGGATCATAACGCGTTTAGATCCAAAAACGGCAACCGAAAGAAAGCGGCTAATAACTACCGTGCGAGTTCCAGAATGATTGAAGTGTTTGGAGATCGCAGCCTGTGCCTGTCTCTGTCAATACTACGGATTTTTATATGCTAAAGATGGTGTTAGAAACAGACTGCGTTCTCCAAACGCTTTAATCATTCTGGATCTCTCTGTATAACAGTGCCACTGGTGCATTAATAATTTCTATATATTACGATGATCTATTCACCTTTATATTGTTTATGCTTTATGGTTACGTGTGAATGTGGATACGCAATACTCGCAATAGATTGACAGTGCGTTGACAGTGAATGCGCTCCTATAGCGGTTGTTTTAAAATGTGACATTATTCAAAATTAAAAAAGTATTAATTTTTAAGTAATATTCATGTGTACTCGCACGGAATTCTATATTTTTCCTTGGTTATGAAAACAGTAATACTCCCAAATACGCCATAAAGATATTACACCGTCAAATCGTACCTAATGTGCTCTTTTTGTGCAAAAATTTCTTACATTTTCATTATAATTTAAGTACCGCTCTTAGTGTAAATGTTTGACTAGACACACGTGGACTCGTGGAGTTTAGGGAATTATTCAATATTTAGGTTCTTGTAGTGACCCTCTGATGTATAAATGAGTAGAAGTATGAATAATAATCCTAGATAAATGATACTAATAATAATGCAATAGGTGCTAGATCAATAAGTTTTTTGATAACATGCACTTTCTACCATTGAAGCTTGAGCGTTTTTTAGACATTGGTAGATATCTAGTATATTACAAAATTAAGGTAGATATTTCAAAGAAATGTAAATATATTCTTTTAAAAAAGTTACTTTCACAGTATCGAAAATGTAAGCAAAAAATTTAATTTTCAAGAAATAATTATATGACTAGAAAAAACTTGTGGTGTTTAAAAAATCGGAGACTACAAAAATACGTTTTTTTTTTGTAATTATAAATTTTTGAAAGAAGAATTCTAGTTTATATTTGATTTACCCTCGTGCCTAATAAAAAATAAACTACGAAGCGACTTTAGTCTTTCTAACTTTTTTTGTAAAAATTTAACAATTTGCTTGTAAGATTTTTAAAATTTGGCCTTTTATATCAATTTCACACTGTATATATTGTTTTTTCTCTTTTGCGTAATCATGTTCAACACATTTTTTTAAATAATTTTATTGAAAAAATTACTTGATGAACAATAGTCAAATACAAGAGTACGAACAGCAGCTACAACAAAAAAAAAGTTGAAATAAAACACGGTCGTACCCACATACCTGACAAGAAAAAAATAAATAAATTCAACTACAGAAAATTTGTTTATAAAACTCTAAATAATACAAAACATGTACAGATGAGACAATCGCGGATGTTGTAAAATTAAATACCTAGCTCGCACACGCGCACGCATTCACACAGTCTTTTCAGTCTTTTTTTATGTCGGGAGCTCCCTTATAACTCGTCTCTCAAGTCTTCGTCTTCTTCACTGCCGCTCGGTGGTGGAGGGCCACCTGTCCCTTGGTACAACTTCGCTATGATCGGCTGGACGACGTCCTCCAACTCCTTCTTCTGCTTTTTGTAGTCCTCGGCCTCGGTGTCTTGGTTATCCTCCAACCATTTAATCTTCTCATCGATCGCCTCCTCCATCTTGGTCTTCTCGTCGTCGGATAGTTTGGCTCCGAGCTTATCCTTGTCGCTGAGTTGGTTCTTAAGGGAGTAGGCGTAGCTTTCCAGTTCGTTTCTCGCCTCCACCCTCTCCTTAAGCTTCTTGTCTTCATCGGCGAACTTCTCGGCATCCCTGATCATCCTATCGATATCTTCGGGTGTTAACCTGTTCTGGTCGTTGGTGATGACAATCTTCTCCCTATTCCCGGTTCCTTTATCCTCGGCAGACACTTGCAAGATACCGTTAGCGTCGATCTCGAAGGTAACTTCGATCTGTGGTACGCCTCGAGGCGCGGGTGGGATGCCAGTCAGATCGAACTTGCCCAACAGGTGGTTGTCCTTGGTCATTGGCCGTTCGCCTTCGTAAACTTGGATGGTGACGGTGTGTTGGTTGTCGGAAGCCGTGGAGAATATCTGCGACTTCTTAGTGGGGATAACGGTGTTACGGGGGATCAGTTTGGTCATAACTCCACCGACCGTCTCGATACCCATGGTCAAGGGGTTGACGTCGAGGAGGACGATGGCGTCTGTGTCCTGTTCTCCGGAAAGTACTCCAGCTTGGACGGCGGCGCCATAAGCCACGGCTTCGTCGGGGTTGATACCGCGGGACGGTTCCTTGCCTCCAAAGAATTCCTTGACGAGTTGCTGGACTTTAGGGATACGCGTGGAGCCTCCCACGAGTACGATCTCGTCGACGTCTTTTTTGTTCATGTCGGCGTCTTCAAGTACCTTCTGGACGGGCTTCATGGTTGAGCGGAAAAGATCCTGGAAAGGAACAAATTACAGTTTAATTACAACTAATTCTCCTGTAACTGGACATTTATAATAAAAAATTAAAAGACAAAAATATAATACATTGCACTTACCATGTTCAATTCCTCGAACTTAGCCCTGGTCAAAGTCTCTGAGAAGTCATCACCTTCGAAGAAGGACTCGATTTCGATCCTGACCTGGTGGCTGGAGGACAGGGCTCTCTTCGCTTTCTCAACCTCGCGCCTCAACTTCTGCACGGCCCTGTTGTCTTTCCTGATGTCCTTGCCCTTCTTCTTCTTGTACAGTTTGATGAAGTGATCCATAACCCTCTGGTCAAAGTCCTCTCCTCCCAAGTGGGTGTCTCCGTTGGTCGCCACTACTTCAAAAACTCCGTTGTCGATTGTAAGCAACGACACATCGAAAGTACCACCACCCAAGTCAAAGACGAGTACGTTCTTCTCTCCCTCCTTCTTGTCCAATCCGTAGGCAATGGCGGCGGCTGTGGGTTCGTTGATGATCCTCATAACGTTGAGTCCGGCGATGGTTCCCGCATCTTTGGTGGCCTGTCTCTGGGCGTCGTTGAAATAAGCGGGCACCGTTACTACAGCGTGGGTGACCTTTTTACCCAAGTAAGCCTCGGCGGTTTCCTTCATTTTGCCCAGGACCATGGCGGATATCTCTTCGGGGGCGAACACTTTCGTTCCCTGGCTGGTTTCTACTTCGATGTGTGGTTTCTGGTTCTTCTCAATTACTTTGAAGGGGAACAGTTTTATGTCATGCTGCACTGTGGAGTCAGTGAAGTCGCGCCCGATTAGACGTTTGGCGTCAAATACGGTGTTTTCGGGGTTGGTGGTAAGTTGATTCTTGGCTGCGTCTCCTATTAGACGTTCCCCGTCAGCGGTGAAGGCGACGTAGGATGGAGTGATTCGGTTACCCTGGTCGTTTGCGATGATCTCCACGCGACCATTTTTGTAAACACCCACACTGAAATTAATAATAATAGTTTTAATACCCGTCATTTACTGGATGTATTGATAAAAGATGAGAGACAGGAAAACTTTCCAACAGATTGGATCTCTAATAAAAAAGCATCATGAATTTAAAATATTGTCAGTAAAATTAAAAAACATTATATAAACTTTTTTTAAGCATTTTAATCATAATGTAATATGCTTTATTTTAATATTAAATAAAATCATCTTCCATTATTTATTTACACCTACCTCTAAATAATGGACACCTCCTGGATATTTTAGGATTACCGTGGGTGTCCATTATTAGAAGGTTATAACTGTACATTGTTCTAAATGTTGTACCGTAAAATATGAAATTATATCTAGCCGCCGGTTACGTAACAAAATTTACATAATAATACTGAAGAATCGGTTTAATTTCGTAAGAAATTGTACAAAAAAGTAAGTGAGGCCGATTTTCCTCTCAATTCTAAAGTAACCAAAGCAAATTTCTTAATTAACGGTTCATAAGCTATATCTATTATAGGATAAACCGCATTAGTTTTATGTGCGAAGAATTTTAAAAAATTTCTCTGTGCTTTCTTAATTATTATTTTATGGGAAGTACAATAAAGATGCCATCATAAGAGCAATGCAAAAGTTTTAATGCTGTAATATTTATAAATGGACCCAATTTCTAACAATGAAACTGTACCTTAGTAGGTTTTACCATTTTTACAGTTATATGTTCGCTAGAACTTTTGACTTTAGGAGTATCACAGTAAACAATAATTCAATTATTAATTGAATAATTACACAAATATTTTGAATGTTTTCTATTGAATAAAATAATTACATTTTGTATTCAGATACAATTTGTTGAAGTTGCACCAAACTACTAAATCACCTAACCTAGATTGTAAATTTTTGTAACAGTCATAACAATTGAGGTCAAGAAGTTTTAAATAGTCAGCAAAAAGACAGTTGTTCAACACATGGGGACTGTATCTCATCATTTGCAAATAGGAGAGAATAATAGACCAAAGTTAGATCCTTGAGGATCTCCTGAAATTGGTATAAAGAAATATAGCCATTATATTTTCTGAAAATACTTATTTGTGGCATAGTTTTCATTTTTTCCTTTATTATATGCCACAAATTATTCTCCTTTAAGTAGGAAGAAAGATATTAAAACCACAATTACTTAATTTTGATAGATCACAATGTTCTATGAATTTGTTGACCATACTTGTCCAAAACTTCTGATACAAATCGAGTAAATAGTTCTACTAAATAGTTCAAGCTAACCTATTAATAAAAAAATCATGGTGGGAAAAGTCCAATTAGACTCCATACCTAATGCAATTACATATATTACAATTTCAATTTTTTTGGGAAAATTTGACAAGGTGTCAATAATAGGTCTATACTCGTTTAGTTTCGTCCCCACTTTTAAAAATTGGGCAGACTCTAGCAATTTTCCATACATCTGTAAATCTCCTACATTTCACAACTAAATTAAATAAATAACAGAAAGGACAAACAAATACAAGAGCACAAGTTTTAAAGGACAGTATCACGCCCAAGCGTCATTTTATTTTTAAGTTAATTGCTGCATTCCAGTATTTCCTCCTCTACGTTATTAATTTAAAATGAATGATACAAATATTATTAATTAATATTGAATGCAGGTGATTAAGGAAATGTTTGACGTAATTTTAAAATGTTACACATATAATTTTACTAAAGATTATAAAAAAAGGCTACTCAATATGTGTCTGCTAAGATGATAAAAACATATATTTCTCTACAAATTGGGTTGAAATAAATGCATTAAAACATGGTACCTACTATAATCAATTTGTACTTTTTCAATCTGCATCTGTTATCATTTAACAAACTACCTATCTTTACAGTTTCTTATGACTTACCATGAGTATGTTGTTCCTAAATCAATACCAATGACAGTACCAACATCATCCTTTTCTTTTTTATCGTCTTTGGCCAAAACAGAGGCCAAAAGACAAAGAGTCCCCAAAGCTAGGTATAACCTCATTTTTTTAGTAGTCGACACCACTATCTGAAAAAAATAACGAATTATAAAGCCGTTCCTAAAATTTTTATGAATAAGTGCAATGAATAGTAATTGGAATAACGGATTTGATTACAAAGGAATAACTGTAGAAATGACACGTCATGACGTGTCTTTCCAAATGTCTCAAAAATATTCAATTTGCAAATATTTTATAGCACTACAGTAGTATAATAATAAATAAGACGTAAAAAGTATTTAATTAAACCAACTCGATACATCTTATTTAAAAAAAAATAGTTACCAACCGGTCAAGTCCCAAGTATGGTATCAATTTCAACTCAAATTTTAATAAAAACGGCAATATCAATACTATATGAACACGTTTAATTAATTAAATGTAATAATCAATAATTGTGGTTAAGTACTTACGATAAATCTATATTCTTAAAACTCCCAAAAATTATTATTATTGAAGCACCACTTTTATTCTTTACTCGACTCTATATTGCGCTGTCTATTAGCAAACTGGTTCAATTTTTCTAACACAGGGTATATTAAGCAGAGAAATACCCGTGTAGAATTTTCATTGGAAGATTTCCGTACGAGGCGAGATTTCATTGGTGACAAATAAAGTTGTTGGCTCGTTTCTATTGGCCCACGTCAAGACGGAACGGAATGAAAAGTGTTCTAGACCATGCTTTGGAACGAATGTACGTGGTGTTGACATGTATTCCTGTATTATCTAGAAATCACAAATTATTATTATCTAGAAATGCCGCTGGATTTCGATATAAAGACTTTATAATTTATAACTACTCCGATAAAGCTTTATCGTAAAAGATACTGTATATTTTGGGTACTATCAGAGCCACCTACAGTTGTTCTGGAGTTAGGTATCATTGATTTTTTAAACTTATGTAAATTTTCTGTTGATTCTTAGTACATATAGAGGAGTAACAGAGGGAGCGAATTCCTAATAGATAAATCCAAGTATTTAATTTATGTTCATAAAATTTAAAAATTGATTTACTGATTTTATAAGCTATGGTATATGCTACCATATACGTAGTACTACGGTAACAAGTTTGTACAATAAAGAATGATGCTTAGTATCTTACATTTTTTAATGTAATTATTCAACATTATAATTTAATTTACATCATTTAATACACATTGCTATTCACGCCATCTGTCAAGTACACATCTAACCTACATAGGGACAGAATTCTATGATGTAGTAACAAGAAAACTATATCAGAGTTTGTGAAATTTCGTTATCTCTCAACAGAGGGCACAAATGTGCATAGAGTTTTTTCTAAGTAATATATATACAGAATGGTTCAATTTTAAAGAGAGTTACGCAGACATGAAATTTAAGCCACTGATTTATATAAGTAGAAGTAAAATTCCGCTAAGTTGACTTGCAAATATTACAATCAGTGACCAAGATGCGGTGTGTCAGTGCCACCACAGGCACCTATAGCTTAGAACGAAGCTGTGGTTGTGGTACCATACTGAAAGCTTGAGATTTCGACGCCACTAAATGTTCTGAAAATTCGGTTAGTGTTTTCAGTTACCAATGGTATTTCTATTATATGGTATGGTATGGTATTTCTAAGAGAAAATGGTCCTTCAATTTTGTTTGCAGAACGAGTAATTTTACAGTTTTGACATTAATTTTAAAATAAGCCTACCATCTATTTATGCAAATCAGAAATGACTAAAACTATTATTAATTCATTCTACAAAATTATTTGTGACATTTTTTGTTAGTACCTAATACAATTTTAATTTAAACACAACGTTATTACTTTGTCAAAAATAAATGTTCGATCCGTTGCGGTTTAGAACCACTAAAAATCGAAATGAACGTAAGCCTCCACTGAACCCAGCCCGAAGACAACAAGGGCAAGTCAAAGGTTCCTGACTAAGGATAAATAAGTGAAAGGAAATTCTGTAGCCAGCAGCGACTAGATACATATACATAGGCGTAACAAAATATTAGACGGCTGTGAAAGCTTTATCATCACTATTATAGTAATCCATCTAATCTCCCATCGTATTTTCAAGATAACAATTATTTATTTTTACTACCTAGTAAACTTTGTGTCTAGTCTTAAATACTTTTATGCTGAATACAGTGTTTATTTGTGTTGTAATCGATTAATATTTAATAAATATGTCTTTAATATGACACCTTTTGTTTAATTTACTTTATTGCAACATTTCATAGTGTTAACTTGAACATTGTTCTTTTCGTATAAATTTTAGAATAAACTAGGTATAAGGACTTTTATAAATTCAGTTTTTAGAGAATTTATAAGGATTATTTCAATAAAAAGGTCCTAGTACCACAATAATTCGGTGGCTCCTCTTTTAATTTAGCAACTTCTAGAATGAATTACGGATGCTGTTTTAAAATGTCCTGTATAAACAAATTATTTTTGGTGTTAAATATATTTTTACATTTGCAAGTTTAAATGGGCAGTAATTTTTAGAATCACCACAGCAATGATGTCAATTACAAACATATGTAATACATATATGCCATGACATTTACACCACCATTTTTGAACATAGTTGACACAAAACACAAATAACAAAGTTTAGCATTATTAATGGCACTGCCCATCAGTCCAACGTGGACAATATCCACAAATTGCTACTTGATCTCCACGTGACGTCATAACTCGGCCGCGAGTGCGCGCAATATCATATCTATTAGTTTTTGTATCATGAATGCCAAGACGTGATTGTCAATGATTATACGGCTGCTCAATAAAACGTAGTTAGCTGTTATACTGTCATTTTATTCATTTGGTTTTAAATTGCTTACATAACGGATATTAATAAGTATCATAAGGAGGATTCCCATACTCGTTGTACAATTCCCGCCACCAGTCTATGCTGTACATGCTCAAATTAGTTTCAATAGTCAAGTTTTGTCCTATATCGAGATAGTATTGCGTCTGTGGTGTTGCCGGGGTCCAAGTTACGTTTTGCAACACGTGGTCCTCTGTGGGGGTTGGATTCCTACGATAAAAATTGACGATATTAAATTCAGTAACTGGACGTCGTTTATTTGTACCACTCACAATGTTTTTGCGAAGTTCGTCCACAATTTGATCAGTCTCTGACGTATTAACAGGTCAGCTTTCGGAGGATTTTGCAAATTACTCGACCCCCGCCACAGGTAATGCAACTCTTCGCCGTGACCCACACCTGGAATTTTTAATAAAACAGTAAATAGACAATAGCAAATATGTTATTCTATGTATATGTATACACGGTGACTAAAATTCATTTAGTTGCGCTTTTAGTTATTTTTAATGAACCTCCTATACAGGGTGTTTTGAGAAAACTACTATAACTTCAGGGGGGATGATATGGATCAAGAGTCTGCATGGTTTTTAAGGTACATGTCGCCAAATAAGATTACGACTAATCAAATTGGACCCATATACAAGGTTAAAGGAACACAAGTGTCTTTTGTTTTATGACACAGCTTTTTTTAGGGCAGTTTTTCTACGATGTAAATTATAATGTGAAATTTCATTTTACATAGAAAAGGTAGTCTTGTTGAAACCGCACCGTTTTCTATTCCGAAATATATAGGGTAGGTATCCTGAAACGAATGGGCTTTATTGTAAAGTTGGCTTCCTTGAATGAAAATCAATCAATCACTTTAGATCAATTGATTTAATATGAATAAACAATCAATTTTTTGATTGCCGATAACTTTTTAAAGTAAGAAAATTGTACTAAGGTAACTTGATCTAAATATCTTTATTTCCATCCGGAAAGCTAAGCTGTAAAGTATGGCCTCTCCGTTTCCGAACACCCTGTGTTGTAACAAATAGAAACTGGTTAATTTTGGGGCAGTCTTAAAAATTGTACGATTTCGGTGATTTCAATAATAGCACATTTTTAATTAAATTTTATGTTGCAATCTAATTCCACAATCCACATAGGCCGCAAAAAACATAACCTCAAAAAGTTTGCGAAATATTACTAGATAAAGTCGAGCTAGCGACCTCTATCAGATGATCAGAAAACAACGACAGTAAAACATTTAGCACCCTCGAAATTTACCTGTACCGAGTTTCAATACACTGTGCAGGTTTTTTGGAAGAAATATGGCTAAATAAAATGGACCTTTAAATCGCAATTTATAATAACAATAAGTGTGGCAGTAGTTTTTTTTCAACTCTCGGCCAGGGGTGAAAAAAGGTAAAATAAAGGGTTTTTTTCAAGATAACTCAAAAGGGGTAAGATCTAGAAAAAAAGTTTCTTATGAAAGTTGTAGAACATAAAATTCTACATAAAAATTGTCAATTAACTTTTTCTTGTACTATTAAAATTAACAGAGTTAGGGAGACTAGAAGTTAAGGGATGATTTCAGAAATTTAAAAAATCATAATAAGCAGAAAAATGAATGAATTTTATATATATTTTTTTCAATCTACTCCAAAAAATGTAAATAGGTATATTTTTTCATTTTTAATAAAAAAGTTATAACAATTTCGCAAAGCGAACGTGATTTTTTATCTTTGTCGTAAAACGAAATTTCGAGACCAACTTTTCATTATTTTAAATAATCAATCTAATGGTATAGAAGAAAACTGTTTTATTGTTAAATCATAAAAATTAACTATTAAAAAAATTGAATTTGTTATAACTTTTTTCTTAAAAATTAAAAAATATATCTATTTCTCTGAAAAGAAAGTTTACATATTTTAGAGTAGATTGAAAAAAATATAATTCATTTATTTTTCTGCTCGTTTTTAAATTTCTGAAATCTTCCCTTAACTTATAGCCAGCCTAACTCTGTTAATTTTAATAGTACAAGAGAAAGTCAATAGACCATTTTTATATAGAATTTTATGCTCTACAACTTTTATAAGAATTTTTTTCTAGCTTTTACCCCTTTTGAGTTATCTTGAAAAACACCTTTATATTTTTTCACCCCTGGCCAGGGGTTGAAAAAAATTTACTGATATTTATTGTTATAATATACCTCAAACTAACTTATATAAAAAATTCAGGCAAGTTGGCCAAAATTGCGATTTAAAGGCCCATTTAATTGCACTAACATAGAAATAAATGCTCTTATTTTTTGTGTTCCAGTCTCTAAATTTGTGGTACTTGTTCCAAAACACCCTGTATAATATATCTGTCCCTGTATCAATTTCTGTAAAACGTACAGTGTTTCTCCTCAAAAAAATATATTTCGGCCTTTGTTTTTTAATTAATTCAATCCTTATTTTTATTATCTTTAATTTCACGTTAACTCTTTAAAATTTTCAACGAGGTTTGCAAAATAAGAACTTGGCATTGTTTAGCAACAACAAAATTTTACTTGAAAAATTTGTAGCTTACCCTGTGAAGTTCTCGCGGAATCTCCAACAGCAAGACCTAACCTTCCGATGTATGAAAATCTATAGTAGTACACTTTGGCATAATTCGACATTAGTCTTACTGCTTCATTTATGGGCCTTGCAAACTGATCGTCCGTAACATACTGAAAAATGTCAGAAAAGTAATTCAGTACAGTAATGGGTTATTTTTATGAATCGACGTATTATGTCTAATAATTCGGCAAATTTTTTTGCTTCTTTGGAATTAATTGCTCAGTTTATTAGGTACTGGATGTTTACCTTTTAACGCGATGCCAAAGATTGCAAAATTAAGTTCAAGTAATTCTTATTCGAGTATAAGTAAAGTTTTAAATGGAGTATTTCTGAAATAATTGCGTTCCTTAAAAGGGGTAGTAGAACAAATTATTTCGAGCAAAATGTTTCATATGGACGTGGGTGTGGCGTGTATAATCTATAAAAATTAAACTACAGCTTCCTGATGATATTTGTAAAAGAAAACTCTTATACGAAAAAGTTCTATTTTCGCGTTTTTTTTTTGTGTATTAAAATTCATTTATTCAACGAAAATGAAGGCCGACCCTGTGTTATTTATTAAAAACTCTTGTTTTTATACGACCCGATATGCAACCTTATAATTTAAGTCGGTATAATCTAATATTAGTAATACTAAAAGAAAGTTAGGTTACATTGTCAAAAAATTTGTGCAGTCAACTGATTTTGTATTTGTATTGAATTCACTATTCACTTAATTATTAAATATTAAGCATGGTGTATCGACCCATCAGTATTAAAAAGTAAACGATTCCAGAGAAAAATTTGTTTTTATTTTGCACGATAGTAACAGTGTAATTTTTATAAAGAAGTAAAAAATAAAAATAGCCTGCCGATTACATTAAAAACGAGATTCTTATTTCTTACTTTGCTTATTTTTTTAGTTTGTAGTTTACAATGAACCGAGAAAACAATTCATTTACTATTTACGAACGTGTCGATATGGTGTTAGTGTATGGTGCAGCCGGAGAAATCGCGGTCGCGGCGACTAGGTTGTATCGGGAACGATGGCCACAACGTCACCCCCCATCTGCAAATACAATCCTACGCCATTCAGCGGCTGCGAGATACGGGAAGTATTATTTCTCGAGGAGAAGGACGTGGTCAGCAAGTGAACCTTAATGTTGAAGACGCAGTGTACTCGACTACTTGCACAGTAAGTAAGAACCTCATCTCGTACCGTACATCGCATCTTAAGGCGCCAGCTTTCGCATCTCTATCATCTGCAACCAGTTCAACAGATTTTACCCCCGGATTGTGATCAACAAATGCGTTTTTGCAGATGGTTCTTATGGCAATGTGCCAATCAAGTACCCTTCCTGCTTATGTTTGTGTAACAGATGAGCGACATTTACCCGTGATGAAGTGAATTACAATATTATTCACATATGGGCCGATGCCATGGCCACCTCGGTCACCCGATCTAACTCCAGTGGACTTTTATCTTTGGAGTCACTTGAAGCCATTGGTTTACAATGCTCCAATGCTACGGTGGAAGAATTGCGAAACCGTATACTTGAAGCTGCTGACACAATTAGGGGAATACCTGGAATTTGGGAAAATATTCCCCAAAATTGGGGGCGTATCCGCGTTAATGGGGATCAATTTCAACATTTTCTCTAGAAATGGTAAATAACTAAATCTGTAAATCATTACGTAATTGAGAAAAATGCAGAAATGCCTGAAAGAGGTCTATTATTTTCTTAATAGAAAACCTTCTTTTCGTTTTTTAAAGTATCTTGCTTATCAAGAAATCCAACAAACCCTATATGGCTATGCTCGACAGGTAATGTTCTATCCAAATATGTAAAAATATACAGTGTGTTTCATTTAACTTAACAAAGTTAACATCCGGGGCCATTCTGTTTGGACTTTATTTGTTTTTCTACTATCATTTTCGAAAAAATCATAAAAAACATGCAACTTTTATATTTCACATTTTTTTATAACTCTTAAAAAAAGTTAAAGGAGGTGGTCAAAATATAGTGAAATTTTTTGTGTAACTACAGAAAAGGAAGCGTTTTTAAAATTTTATGGTCTTATAAGGGATAAATATTTTATAATTTAGCGACCTAAATTTAAGAACTTACAAACCAACCTGTACTAAATTCTTGTCGCTTAGAGACACGGGTCGAATGCCGAAATAATGGGCCTTTATTTTTGTAGCCACTGTTAATTTGTCCGCCGACTTTACGTTCATGTCCACCGGAATTAACCTTACTGGATTAATGTCGTAGGTTAATAGATACAGCCGCACTCTTTCCAGAGCTGAAAAATAATTAGTTTATTATAAATCTTATTTAAAAGATAAATTAGTAAGATATACAGGGTGTATTTAAATGAAGCAGCGCAAATACTACCGCATAATCTTGGAGTCAAAAATGTAATAGGGACAAATATACCTTAGTCCAAAATTGCTTCATTAATAAATTTACAGTGGTATATTGTTGGTTTTTTACAGAGAACAGTTTTAGGACGGTTCAAATTAGTCGACCATTTTATTCATAAGAACATCAAAGCAAAGGCATACTAACAATATAGTTGGATAACTATTCTGAACCATCAAAACAAGCCTTTTAAATAGTTTTCGTTGTCATATTAAATCAATTCCTAGTATAGTCTTTCCGATCTCAATTGAATAACCAAGAGGCATTGAAATATTTGAAAAATTTGTTCCCATATTTATTTACCCATACCCATATACAGGTCTGGTCGAACTAAATATGGAAGTGGTAGAAATGTACGCCCAGTTGAAGCATGCGCGCGCGGGCAAACAAAGCGGGCATATAACAAACCGCACTGGGCGACTGGGCAATAAATCTCAGTTGTTGACAAGTGGTTGACAAATTGCCTAGCAGTGCAGTGCAGCAATGCGGAATTTAGTGTGATTCAGGTAATTTTAACTTATTATAGGCATCGTCTATTAAACATTCATATTGCAATTGCGAAAGAGAGAAATAAGAGGGATACTTTGTTTACTAATATTATTACAACATGGCATTTTGAAACGGAAAAAACGAAATTTACCATCAATATAATAAAATTGTTTGAGGACATAAATAATTAAAATATGTTGTTGACCAAATGAAGATATAATATAAATTTTGTTCACATTATATACAAATTATTTTAAATTTTAACTTTTAGCAGAAAACCTTTTTAGGGACGCCTATTAAACTAATTAAATTTTATTGCTAGGCGTTTTTATACTTATTCAACTGACTTCAGAAAGACTATACAGATGAGTGCAATACTTGTTTGTTTTTTATTACCAAACTGTTCTCTTTTTCCCCAATTTTAATGAAGGTAATTTATATGTATTAATTCTGACAGAAAACTGGCAGATATAAATACAAAATTCATATTGTTACGTAAAGTTTTTGACTGGTAAGTATATTCTATTAAAATTCAAAATTGCTCTACTGTAAAATTTACCTTTGTAACTAGGCGGCATACCCACAAAGTAAAAGTACTCAATTTTTTAAGAAACGATAGTATATTTTTTCAACGTAGTCGCCTTCAACCTCGATGCACTTTGTAAGCCGAGAGATGAGCTTTCTGATACCTTCGTCAAAAAAATTTCCCGCCGCCTCTCGGTCCCACTTTTTCACGGCATTGTTGACCTCATCGTCGGTATAAAACTTTGTTCCACCCATAAACACCTTCAAAGAAAAGGAAAAGACTCATTTCAACAAGCTACTACAACAACAGTTCTCAACTGACTCAGACAAATGAGTGCGCGTTCTATACCCAACACTTTGGTGTTGGGTACCTTGGCTTTGAATGCAGTGCTGCTAACTTTGTTGGAAACAAAAACCACAGAGCATCAGAGTGTCAGTACTCTTACTTTTTGGATATGCCTCGTATTCTAGTTTGTTTTCTGCACCCTTCATTTGTTCGTTTAAAAACACTGTAAAGCCATATAGGTACCTACATATTTAGTAAGATAATATGTATTCAGAGTATTTTTTAGCCATTTAAATTTCTTTCTGTATAAAAATGGAGAACAATAAACTTACCATCTGCAAATGGTAGTCCCTCTTGAGAATTGAACCCGACTATCATAGGCACCCTATTGAACTGTCCTTTTTTCAGTTTTTCATGACTTTTCTTTACGACCACAGAATTTTTTAAGTCTGGTTCTTCAGCGGGTGCAAATATTAAACCGTTCCTGGGATTCGTTAGCACCAGGTCCTTAAAAAAATGTAACTTAAATGCTTTGCACAGGGTGTCACTAAATAAATGTCCAATACTTTATACAATACAGTACAGGGTCAAAGTAGGTACAAACTTGTATGGTATTCATTCATTTGTCTCACTTCCGGTTTGACTGGAAAACAATTTCACAATCATTTTTTACTAACCTCGCATAGTTTAGTCGCATCGAATAGAATTTTTATTTATGAATCCAGGATATGTCATAATTTTATCATGGTCTAATCGAAACATGCGATAAATTAGAAATATTTATATGTATTCGTAGCGAATATTTCAAAACTTGCGAAATTTTTAGAAAACTGAAACAATTATTGTATACAGAAAACATGATTACTAACGGATTTTATTGCTATTTAATGTCAGTGATTCCGTTTTACAATTGTATTTAAGAACACACTTTTCAAATTTTTGACCCAGCCACATTTTATACAGGGTGTTTCAGGATTAAGTCGACAAACTTTAAGGAGATATTCCTTATGAAAAAATAAGAAAAACATCAAGTATAAATTTTTTCCAGAGACGCTTCATTTTCGAAATATAGGGCGTTTAAGATTTTTTTAAAAATTCGAAATTTTAAATAACTTCTAAATGAAGAAGGCTATTTAAGCCAAATTTGGCATGACACATCTTCTTATAAGATACCATTTTTCCATAGAAGTAGAAGTCCTGCAAGTAACCAGTGACCTACTTTATTTAGAAGTTATTTAAAAATTTCAAATTTTTTAAAAATCTTTAACGCCCTATATTTCGAAAATGAAGCGTCTCTGGAAAAAAATGTATACTTGATTTTTTTTCTTATTTTTTATGAGGATTATCTCCTTAAAGTTTGTCGACTTAATCCTGAAACACCCTGTATACGGAAAATTTTATTTTACATAGTGTTGATTGGATATCTAGACAAACTTTAAGGAGCAATTCTTTTTAAGTTTTCAAGTCAACCAAATTTTAGATATTTACTACCTACCTACATTAATATCAAACATATTTTTAAATTTAATGAACCTGAAATAACGTAACCTTATTGTTCACTATGTGTCGATAGTTTTATACAGGGTGTCCCGTTCTTTTTCAAAAAAACTTGTGTGCAAGTTCCTCATGGGGAAATAATAGATGTAACGCTTTTATTTTAGACGCTCTGTTTTCGAGATACAGTGTGTTGAAGTTGTCACTTTCCAAATGTTTTTCCTTAATTATCTTTAATTCGGCTAAAGATAAAAATGTCAAAGTTTGTACACGAGTAGACATCAACTGTGCGTTAAGGTGGCCATATCCCTGGCCGAGAAATGGTGAAATTTCTGGAATTTTTAGGTACTGAAATCTTGAAAAGTAAAACGTGTAGAACAAAAGTAAACACAAAAATAAAATCATTGATGTTTTGTTTATTCATTGTTACCATTTAAATTTACCCAAATAAAATAATAACTAAAAAAGGCGTTTGTAAAACATGCGTTTTCTGTTATCCTAACCCCACATTTTAAGAATTAATTTTACGTACTTATAAAGAAAAGTAAACAATTTTGTAGGACTAAGCAAGTAAATGTTATAAGGTGTGAAGTTATACAGGGTAGCCCATCGAAAACGTACCGCAAGGCATTACAGGGTAGTAAAGAACTTTTCGGCAAAATCCAAAAACAGTTCAAATTTGTTTCTGAGGGGGACAACTTTTGGCTCAAAAAGCATAGCAAAATTTTTAACCCCTTAAGTGGGGGTGCTATCCCCTAAAATTTTTCAAATGGGAATGGAGGTCAAGTGAGGGGTCATTAGAAAGGGTTTTTAATTCTCTATACATCGATTCTTACTTTTTGTAACTCACGGTATTAGTCAAGTAAATGCTGAAAATGTTGTCCGCCAAATTGCATACAATGATACAGGTTGTCTTCAAACCGTTGTCGAACATTCTGGAGCACTTGTGGTGTTACTTCGCGACATACATTAATTATTCGTCCTCGCAGATCTTCCAAGGTATCAGGTGGAGTGCTGTAAACTTTGCTTTTAATGTGCCCCCAGAGAAAGAAATCTAAAGGATTTAAGTCGGGTGACCGAGGGGCCCACTCAATTGCACCTCTTCGTCCTATCCAGCGTCCTGGAAACGTCTCATTTAGGTAATTGCGCACATTGAGCGAGTTATGTGGAGGAGCTTGCTGGAAAATCAGTTCGTGTTCATTGTAAGCAGGGTCGTCCTCTATGATATTTGTTAGAGCTGGGTCGATGATTTTTGTAGTAAATCCAAGTACATATCGCCTGTCAAATTTCCAGGAAGGAAAAAAGGGCCTACAATGGAATTTCCAAAAATACCTGCCCATACATTCAACTTCTGGGGGTGTTGGGAGTGTGTCTCATGGAAAATCCTTGGAATGGTATCAGCCCAGTAACGACAATTATGGCGATTCACTAAACCATTCAAGAAGAACGTACACTCGTCCGAAAAACACAGATTAAAGAGGAAATTATCGTTTATCGCTCGTTCAGTAATTATTTCGCAAAATTGCAAACGACGATCAAAATCGTCTTCATTTAGCTCTTGCACTAGCCGAATCTTATAAGGATGGAATTTGTATTTTTTTAATATTCGTTGGACACTTGTACGACTCACTCCTGTCGCAGTAGCCATTTGCATTGTATTCAGCGTACTATCCATTGCCACTTGCCCCAATACCGCTATTTCCGTAGGTTCATTTAATACCGGATTTTCAACCTGCCTCTTTTTGTTATGAACGGACCCAGTTTCGCGAAATTTGGTCACCAATTCGTGAACAATTTTTCCAGACGCATGTTTCTCAGGATGCCGTTGGTTGAACAGTTCGGCGACCCGATTTCCGCATTCATTGTTTTTGAAAAAAAGCTCAATAATTTCTACTCTTTCTGGAATTGAGTACACCATAATTAATCAATTTAAAAGACTCGGCAGTATTGGTACTCTTCAACTACAAGTCAAAAGACAGTTATCTAGCAACTTCTTGTGGCCTATCTAAATACGAAACAAAAAGCGGACAATTTTTTGCTCACCAAAATCAGGCTAAAGAATTCGCAAATCAGAAAAAAAAACAGCGAATTCTTTTGAAGTAAAATTAAATCGATTTTCGCATTTCTCGTCAAAAATATTGTTCGTATGTTCAAAGCTGCATATTTTCTAAAACAATGGATCGATTTTCAAAAAGTAAGAATCGATGTATAGAGAATTAAAAGCCCTTTCTAACGACCCCCCACTTGACCCCCATTCCCATTTAAAAAAAATTGGGGGATGGCACCCCCACTTAGGGGGTTGAAAATTTTGCTATGCTTTTTGCGCCAAAAGTTGTCCCCCTCAGAAGCAAACTTTACCTGCTTTTGGATTTTGCCGAAAAGTTCATTACTACTCTGTAATGCCTTGCGGTACGTTTTCGATGGGCTACCCTGTATATAAAAAAGTTAGTATTTTCGTAGATTTCAGTACCTAAAACCTTGATGGTTTGATCGTTTTTTGCACCTGTTTATTCGTTTTACTGCGGCGTCTTTGAAAATACTCAGGTGGCATGACATAACATTCGTATTATTTGATAAGCTTTATTATTCAGTTATTAAATGTTTGAAATTATTTGTCTTTGCGGAAAACACTATTTAAAGAATATGGGGCCCTTAAGAATAATGTGTAAACGGTTTCTTTCTGAAGAGCAGTGTCGCCGATAGAGGTAATTGGTACAACTGAAAAAAAAAATATGTTAAAGTCAAAATATGTTACGTTTTTAAAGCATACTACAAAAAAAAGTATATTTGTCGAAATTCGGTAGCATGTACCATTTTCGAGAAAAATGAAGGTGCATTTTTTTGCTCACAAGTACATTAACAAAATATTAAATTGAAAGAGGACTTTACCATTGAATGAGCTGAAGACATTTAGCTATCAACAGTATTTGCATTTAAGACTATAATTTTAATTTCTTACGTATCACATGAAACAGTTAAATTGTAAAACATTTTATTAACTAAAGAAAAAAAATTAAAATTTATTTTAAGTTTCGGCTTGTTGTAAACTAACATTTAAAAAATTAAATCAAAATAAACAGATTATGGTAATTAATTATCTATTAATAACTAATTTTTGATTTTGTAAACTACTACACTACCATTACTAAAATAAAAAATTGTTGAATGGACTGAATTATTGATGGACATATGGACAAGAATGCTTAAAAAAGTGATAAGAACAGAAAAATATATAGAACCAGACTCGGAGACATACAGAACAAAATAGCTGCACAATTAAATAAATGAGCAAAACGCAAAATACTACAGTAGATGCTGAAATTGTCCCCATTTGCTTCTACGCAAGTTCATTTTTCTCGAAAATGGTACATGCTACCAAATTTCGACAAGTATACCTTTTTTTTGTAGTACGCTTTAGAGTTTACATAATCGTTTAGAAATGTAATAAATTTTGACTTTAACATATATTTTTTTTTCGATTGTAGCCCTGTAGATTACCTGTATCGGCGACATTGCTTTTCAGAAAGAAACCGTTTGCTCATTATTCTTAAAATACAGTTGATGTTTACTCGTGTACAAATTTTGACATTTTTATCTTTAGTCGATAATTAAGAAAAACCATTTGAAAAGTAACACCTTCAACACACTGTATCTCGAACAGGGCATCTAAGAAAAAAACTTTACATGAACTACTCCTACTATTTTTCCATGAGGAACTTGCACCCAAGTTTTTTTTAAACATGAATGGGACACCCTCTATTATCTTCAATTGTTACTAAATTATTATTATCAAATAAAATATGGCTTACACCTATTTCTACAACAGTTGATGCGAGGTACAGTGATCTGAAGTCGTATCCCCTCAATTCTTTCACCAAGACGGACGAGTTGGTAGTTAGTATACCGAGAAGTAGCCCTAACTGAAAGGCAGTGGTTCTAGGTTTCCGTGACAATGCCCACAAGTCGAGACTGGTGCCACTTTCCATTATAGCTCCACGGAACAGACCTGAAAGTTGAAGAAACTTTTCTGTTTACATAAGCCTACGTAATATGCTGTTTTTTTTTAATTCATCCACTTTACAAGCATGGGCGTAGGCAGGATTTTTGCTTGGGGTGGACCTTGACCAAAAAATATTATCGGAGTGTTTTTCTGGGGAGGGCTCTCTAGAGGGAGCCGTGACCACCCCTGCCCCCCTAGCTACGCGTCTGCTTACAATTAAACTTAGTCCACAAAGTTATAAATTGTACCTGGCTTGGCAAAATTTGAATTGTACAGGATTAGTCACTATAATCTGGCAACTTATTGTGAGTTTATTATTGAAGTTACAAAAAAGTTTATAATACCAAAGTTTTAGCTATTTTTATAAATCTTTATACTACAGTATTAGAAAAAACAATTGAATAATGGAAATCACTAAATTAAAGAAAAAAAATTTAATAGGACACCCTATATATTAGTGCATACTTAGTTTCGTTAAATTTTTCTCTTTCCAAAAATATATAATATGTTACTATTTGATTCAGGACTTTTCGACATATTTCAGTTTAAAACTATTTTTGAAAAAACAGGAGGAATTTATGTCTGACGGATCGCAGTGGCTATGTACGAGGCACGCGGAACAAACAAATGACATTGACAGAATTTTATTTATCATTCATAATTTATTTTCTATAACAAACTATTTTAACAAAGAAATAATGTTTAGTGGGAACGAAAAATTTGAAGTTGATCAATGTATACAAAATTTAAGTGAATTTAATTCCTATCTCATACTAAATGCTGTTCTCAAAATTATTGAGGATTATACGAACTTACGAAGTGCATCAATAATAATGACAGTCACATTGAGCATCTGGGACCATTTGTGTTTTAGTTGTTTTTTATTAATTAGGTATTAAAATTCTGTTAAAGTAAATACTTGTTAAAGTTAAGAATGATTTTTATTATTATCATAAAACAAACCGATAAACTAACAAATTTTTCGTTCTCATTAAATATTATTTCTTTGTTAAAAGAGTCTGTTATAGGAAATAAATTAATGATGATAAAAAAACTTCTGTCAGTCATTTGTTTGTTACGCGTGCCTCGTCCATAGCCACTACGATCCGTCAGCCATAAATTTCCCTCCTGTTTTTTCAAAAATAGTTTTAAACTGAAATATATCGGAAAAGTCCGGAATCAAACAGTAACAAATTATATATTTTTGAAAAGAGAAAAATTTAACGAACTATGCACTAATATATAGGGTGTTCCAAGAATTTTTTTTTGTGATTTCCATTACTATTCAATTGTTTTTCTAATACTGTATTATAAAAATTCATAAAACAAGCTAAAACTTTTGTATTTAAAACTTTTTTGTAATTTCAATAATAAACTCACAGTAAGTTGTCAGATTATAATGACTAATCCTATACATTGATAACATTAAAATAAAATAACTATAATTTACAATTCACAATCAATCACAAATTATAAAATCATGTTACAAAAAAATGTGTGAGTGTTGTGGCTTTTATTTATTATTGTTTTTTATTTAAAGTTCATTTCCTCATTTCTACCAAATTATTCAATATTGAGGACTGAAGATAATTTAGTATATTTTAACCTTTTTTTAATTTATATGTTCCAGTTACAATATTTAAAATTTTTTTAATAATGAATTATACGATCTTGGCGCTAGACAACTTTTTAAACAATAGATTTGTGACATTTTGAAGTTTGATAGCAACGTAATTTATGTCTAATTTATAATTTTCTTATTATATCCAGCACTTTCAATTCTTTGCTCATCAGAAGAATACGTAGTTTTTATATTGAGCATTATTTTTTGAACTTTTTTAGAATTACCTATTTATAATCGCCTGAGGTAATTATCTACCGCATTTTCCCGGAAGTTTTCGTTTGTTACAAGCAAAAGGTAAGTAAGTTCTTGATCTGTTAAATTCGCTCATTTACGGTTATCCAAATTATTAATAAATTGGCTACTAACACTTGGACACGACTCTATTTTTAAGAACAAAAATTTATATATAATAAAAACAAATGTTAAAATATAACGCCTAAGTTGGGGACTGACAAATCGAGAAGTGAAACTATGCAGCACCGGTCGCCTTTCTTTTTATATATGACAAGCAAAAATTGTTTTATCAGATTGGAACTTGTAAAAATTATGGTTTGATGTTGGAACTGTTGTTTACAGTATTAACGATTTTTTTTTCAATTATATTTGACCACTTACCTTTAGTTAACTGAGTCTGTAAAAGATAGGAAACAGAAGCACTTCCAGCACTCTCCCCAAAAATCGTCACTCTTTCTGGATCTCCACCAAAGTATCCGACATTATCTTGAACCCAGTGCAGTGCTAGAATTTGGTCCTTTAACCCCCAATTTCCAGACGCGGCTCCATCTTGAGTGCTTAGAAAACCTACAACAATCATCACACTAATGAAAACACAGGCACGTGAAATAAAACAAGTGGACTAATCTGGAGACCCCACTAAGCCATCTGTATTTTGAAGCGCTGAATCCGAATCCGTCGTTGGTTTTTATGAATCTGAGGCTGATTTAGCTTTCTGATTCCTATATAGGAATTTTGAAAAAAAAGCTGGAAATGACTGAAGCTCCTGTTTCATTATTTAAAATTCTATAACCTTGAATGGAAACAAATTCCAAACTATTTCTTACATTCGTTACGTACTTTTTTGTTCTGGAAATACCTGCGTAGTGATTTTCGGGTTCTTTTCGAACTAATATCTTCAGCTTCTCTTTTAATAGGCCAATAAAAGTCCGCCATCATATTGACATTTGTCGTCGTATCTTACTTCAAGTTCTTTCAGGTATTGGTAAAAATATTCACTGTGTTCGTCACTATAATGACTTAAGTTTTCAAAAAGGTAGTTTAGGCGGAAATCTAAAAAAGAAATTTTTACATTCATTCATTGAATTTTTGGTGGCGGGACTGAAGTCGAAGATTGGTAGTGCCAAGAACGAAATTAACTTTTAGAGATTAAGAAAACGAATTTTGAAAATTCTTCAACAAAATAGAGGATAGCTCTCTGGTGTGATGGTTAGATGAATCAATGAAACTTAATGTTTACAAATCCGAGGAATCATAGACTCTTGAAAATTATATCAATCATTCTGGGGCAGCAGTTAGGATTTACCAAGTATTCTTCTGCTATGGGATTAATGAAACGAAAAAAATCACTACAAAAAAATAATGGCGACAAGAGAAGTACCGAACCCAGGAACTTGCAATGTTATACAGACAATTTGTCAAGGCTTTGAATAAATAAACGGAAATCGGTCTCAATTCTTAACTAGCCAATTTTTGAATATAAGCCAAGCAAATTTGGAAAAAAAACACCTTCAACGGACCTCAACATTTCATAACAATGGGGGAGAGCATCGTGGCTGAGATTTCGCAATGTCACTCAAAACTTTTTAGGGAACTAGAAAAGCCAGAACTACGATATTAGTGTAGCAGAAACGATAAGAATCTACCAATGCTTAGAATGTTTATGAATGTAAAAGTTCATTTCTTGGATTTCCACCTACACTACTTTCGTGATAACTTAGGTAATCACATAACGAGGAACAGAGTGAACACTTTCATCAAGATCTGAAAGAAATCGATGTAAAATCCCTGGGAAAATGAGATGTTAATATGATAGCGGACGTCTGTTGGTTACTGAAAAGGAAACTGAAGCTCGAAAAGAGCCCGAAACCTACTATGCAGGTCGATCGGGAAGAAAAGAGTATATTGTAAATGGAAAATTGTAAATTTGGGCGAATTTTTCCATTGAAGATTACCTACAGAATTTTAAATGAGCAAACTGGGGTTTCAATCGATCCAGATTTTCCAAAATATTTATATAGGATGATCCAGGAAGCCTAACCAGTGTCTGATTCGTGTTGAGCACGGTAAATTACTTACATAAGAATTGGGCTAGTCCAAATAAATTTCTTCATTTGGTGCTAATTTCAACTTAAGTCGTTTTCTAGAGACTTTTCGTATATTTCCAGCGATTTTTCTCAAATATCTCACTTACAGGGAGTCAACAGGACTAATCAGTGTTCAGCGCTTTAAGACCTTTTCCGGTCCAAATAAATTACTTCAAAATATTGCTGATACCCATTAGTTCAGCACGACAGCCTGGTGGGATCTCCAGCTCAGACGACTTTCTTTATTTTGTGTGCCTAACTAAATATTAATTGTTAAAATATTTTTTTACGCACCAAAAACTCCCACTCTGTAGTTAAAACTAACGACCACCACGTCCTGATCTAGAAAATAGTCCGGTCCGTAGTCTGTATATCTAGAACTGCCCTGTTGGAAAAACCCTCCATATACCCAGACCATTACGGGTATGGGCTTCGAACCCCGTAACTACAAAATGTACTTCGTTTGTATTTATTTTGAATATAAGTGTATCACTTACATTTGTAGTGTAGACGCTAATAAACAAACAGTCCTCGGATCCTTCGATTTTTTTTTGAACGCAAATACTTCTGTCGACAGTTGCGTTTAGGATTCCGGTCCAGTTCTTTCTAGGTACGGGTGGCTGAAAATGTAGTTGTATTTTAAAAAATGTATATATAAACTCTTCTGAAAAAATGTAGCGCTATAGGACACCAATCTCAACTAATTTTCAGTTAATAGTAGAAACTGAAAATTTTCTGGAATGAAAAGTAAAATAAACGACACTTACGACAATTAGTATTTATACAGGGTGTCCGGTAAGTATCTACCGATCTTTTGGAAGCGTATAGGAGAGATCAAAATAACGCCATTACTCTTTTTATTTATTTTTTGTTTCTCTTAACAGAGATATCGGGCATCAAAGGAGTTCCTACACACTTACGTTTTGGATTCGAACTTTAAAACCACCTTGTATATTTTGATACGACTTTGGCATATTGTACTCGTATATATCCGTAATTTAATTAAAACTGGATTTTTACTGTAACGAGGTATCCAGAAACAGACTAGACCAATGCATATTTTTTCAAAATTTTTGTCTGATGTCATACTATCGAACTGGAAATAGTTATTTACCCCATAAAGAAGGTAAGTATTATTTACCAGTCGAGGAAGATTTTGCGCCCGAGCCGAGCGAGGGCCGGCAATAGTGTCCGAGACTGGTAAATTACACTTAACTGCTGCGTGGTGTATAACATTTTATCTGCTCCCACAGTTCTTTATGGTTCATGAAATGAAGATTAGATTTTATTTTTTGACATTTCTTAATCAATTAATTTTGACATTATTTGATCTTGCAAAGCCGCCTTGGTTTGGATTTTTCCGTTTCTAAGGTGTTTATAAACAAAGCTCCATAAAAATTGGAATTTTGCTGGTTTTGAATTATTATTATTTCTAAATGAGTGATTTTCAAATAGAAAGTGCAACAAATGCTGCCTGCAAATTTTTGTTGCCCGAGAAATTAGCATATTTCATGGAGAGTCAAGAACTTTAAAGTCACCGGCGAGTTTGTGGAGTGAATACTCAATGATTAAGTCAACTATTTTCATAGAGGAGAACGTGGGTAGATCAAAATTTCCCAAGCTGAGAGCATTTTTGAAACGTAAGAATGACGGCTATACACCTAAAAAGTGAAACGTTTTTACAAGAGAACAAGTCAACGATTTTCTCGTTCAGGCACCCGATAACACATATTTGCTAATGAAGGTAGTGACGGTCTTAGGCACTGCAAGAGCATGCCGTTCTGATGAGTTATGCAAACTTACTTTAAATAACGTCAAGTTCAAAAATTTCGATGACATTATTGTAATTACAATTCCAGATTCTAAAAATGGTATGTCACGTACGTTTACAATTACTTCTCGTCTGGGTTCTGTTTCTCACCTAGAAATTCTCAAGAAATGTATCAAGATTAAATTAGATATTAAAACTGAAATTTCACGCTTTTTTATGCGCTATCAAGCAGGTAGATGTACAACCAACCAGTCGGTAAGAATACCCTTTCTATGATTCCTAATAATATAAGATTGCACAGTTTTTTAAACTAGAACATCCTGAAACATATACAGGCCATTCATTCCGAAGAACATCGGCAACGTTACTGGCTAATACAGGAGTTGATGTATTAGCAATCAAGAAACATGGTGGGTGGAAGTCAGCCATAATTACAGAAAGTTATGTTGCTGACAGTTTAAGTAAATAGTAAGAGATTCTTTGTCAGTGGAGGCTGATGCGGGAGGGCTAGAGATTTTCATAGTAAGAAAATTTAATTTATCTAGATAATTAAATGATTAGCCTTCTGAAAAAGAATTGATATAACTGTCTTTTAGATTTTTAAAAAATAATAAAATGGTTCAATATTCAAATGGTTCATCATTAAGAAACATATTTCCAAGAAATCCTCTTGCGCATTAGCATTAACCATTTAACGCGAAAAACTTAAGTATTTGATATTTTGCGGTATGTCTGAAAAATAGATAAATTTACTTATTTTGCAATATAGACGAAGATGGATTTGATTAAAAAAAACAATTTTACTCTATATAATTATAAACATTAAAATCTGCTACATCATCTTTAATTACATTAATCAATGTGTAAAAATTGAGAAATTTCAAAATAGTAATAAAAATTTACTTGAATTGAAACGGACAACATCACAAACATTAAAAGAAAAACGGTTTTTGTTATGGAAAACCGTTAATGTTATCGGAACAAGATGACACTTTTGTAAGATTCTTTAATTAAAGATTTTTAATACTAAGTTGTTTAATTTTTATAACTAATAAAAAACTAATCAAAAGTTATAATTTTCTAGTTAATAAAATCAAAGTTATCAAAAAAAATGTACCAGATTTGAAAAAATCGACACAATATTAATAAATAATAATAATTTCCAGGTTTTGTATTCCGTTTCATTAATTTTTTATACTCATGGTTTTCGAACACCCTGTATTTTTACTATGATTTGCTTTTGCACAACTGTTGATGAATGTTTTACTTCTACAAGGGACTTCAAATTCAAATTTGACAAGAATTTCATGATAAATCTTAAAATATTAATAAAAAATTTGAACTTACACTAAATCTCAAATCCCCTAGAGGTGGTTCTGCATAAGGAATACCTCTAAAAGAATAATAAGTTTTTTTATTATCCACCGTCGTGTATTTACCGCCCATAACTTTTCCATTTTTTATAGTCACCACTAAATCGTTCTCCTGAAAATGTATAGGTCCAAGTAAATAGTTATTTGTCTGTAATTCCATAATAAATGACATTCGTATACACTACTTTTCATTATGGACGAAACTAAGCAATAATTTGAAATATAGAAGAGGTTTTTGAAAAATAAGTGAACTAAGCAAATCTAAGTTACTGCTTAAATTAATTTGAATACCTACCTTAGCTTCATTTTGTAAAACCAATATGTGTAAAAACAGAAATAAAATACATTTAATGTAAATTGCCATTATTGAAATGCATTATTTTTGCTATTCCTGTAAACAACCAGCAGGTATTTATATACAAAACATTGCATTTATTATAAATAGTATGCAAAATTATTCAAAATATTTTAACATTAATGATAAAAAAGTATTGCACCAAATTGATATACAGAGTGAGCCCTGTATAAACTCGATCTAGCTTAACTGAAAAGTCATAAAAAAAATTATCTGCCATCAGAACGTTTTTATTATTTGTTATTATCTTTTAACTACACTGAAAAAAAAAGTATTTGAATCAAATGAGCAATCTGAATTATTTGCCGTAAATGTTATTTTATTCTATTCAAATGTATATACTTTCGTCAAACTATGTGAAATATTTGCTGTAATCTATATATTTTTTTTACAATTTATATTATTGTAAATACCTATATAATTTAATTCAAACCTTTTATCGTTTTAAAATTTATTATCTCGGACTTTAGCTACAATATCTCTTACAGTTTATCATCAACTGCAAACATATTTATTTCAAAATTATCAGTTCCTTAAAAAATATATTTATTGAGATGAAATAAAAGTATTGATAGAAATTTAGAAATTTTAAATTAAAATTGTACTTGACTAAGACAATGGGAAAAGATAAGGTTGAAATGAGATTATTGTAAAACTAAAAAAAAAAAGAAATCGAGTAAAAAGAAAAATTGTTAGTATTAAATAGGGTATTGTGAATTATTATTATCGGAGAGACGCATTATTAGAGCGAAATATAAATTTCAAAGATTTAAGAATAGAAAACATTATCATTTTAGTCAAATAGCGTACATGCCAAGGTATTATCGGAAAAACAAAATTAATTAGTAACAGCAAGGGACATATAGCAAACGCATCAAAGCGCGCAGCAGGTTCCAGCTATCCAGTAATTTCAGAAAAACGAGGATTCCAGGACGATATTCCAGACACACCAAGCAGTTCGAAAATAAAAATCGACAAGACGTACGTAGACGTGACTGTGCACAAATAATTACGAAATCTTATTAGATAAAGCTAGCTACAAAAGAGAATAATAAATACAATCTCAAGTCATTAAAAAAAAAATAATAATAATAATAATAATAATAATAATAATATCTCTACTCCTTATTCTAATTACNAATAATAATAATAATAATAATAATAATAATAATAAAATTTAAAGTAGTTTTACCTGAAAATAAGTTTGAAATTAATACAAATTCTTCATACCTAATAAATAGCAGATAACTTTAACTTCACTATATTAACAATAATAAAAAGTAGCCATATTAAAATTTAGATAGATATTTAAGTATAAAAGTAGGCAAAGTAACACATTGGGAAAGAAATTTTACGTTCAGTTTTATCGCCTTAAGTATAGGCAACCAACAGTACACAATAAAGAGTCAATTTGAATACCACTTTATGAAAAGTTCCCAATAAAATTGCTATCATAATAAAATAATTCCAAATATTCCGAAATTGTGCCTGAACTTTTCACGATTATAATTTATTGTTGACAAAAAAATAATAAATTAATAATATCTTTTGTCTAGTGTGGTGTATTGTTTGGGTTTCTACAAAGTTTCAACCTCATACCAACACAGCAGCATACACATATTTATAGCAAGATCATAGTATATTAATTATATAAACGAACCACACACACATACCTACTAAAATCATAACAATATATTTAAAATTTTGTATTAATGTAGGAATTATTCAAGAAAAATGTAGCATATTATAATCAAACTTATGTTTTCTTGAAAGAAAATTTGGGTTTCTACAAAGTTTCAACCTCATAACAACACAGCAGCATACACATATTTACAGCAAGATCATGGTATATTAATTATATAAACGAACCACACTCACATACCTACTAAAATCATAACAATATATTTAAAATTTTGTATTAATGTAGGAATTATTCAAGAAAAATGTAGCATATTATAATCAAACTTATGTTTTCTTGAAAGAAAATTTGGGTTTCTACAAAGTTTCAACCTCATACCAACACAGCAGCATACACATATTTATAGCAAGATCATAGTATATTAATTATATAAACGAACCACACACACATACCTACTAAAATCATAACAATATATTTAAAATTTTGTATTAATGTAGGAATTATTCAAGAAAAATGTAGCATATTATAATCAAACTTATGTTTTCTTGAAAGAAAATTGTAGGTCACAGAATGTCGTAGGTAAGTCAGAATGTCTTAAATGAAGACAAATGTACCACAAATATACCTAATAGAATTTTAAATATAATTATTATTATGTAGGTACTTATAAATGTCTCAAATGTCGACAAATCTTTTTAATGCATTCTACGTATTATCGTTTTTTTACTGTTATATTTTTACATTTTTTAAACTTTTAAAATTCATATTATTTACAATTCTGGCCTCATTATAAGGTTGCCACTTTGTAAACCTAGATATTGATGATAAAAAAAACAATTTATAAAAACGTAATAAAAAATATATTTAATTTTTTAATAAATATTTAACATTGGCTTTTTCCTATCAAACGGTATGTTAAATGCTGTGTTATTAATATTACATACTCGTGGGTTAGGTATTTGACAGAGATACCTAAGTCTATAAAAATTCCTGTGAGTTGAAAAGTGTTTTTCTATTGAAATTTCAAGTACATTACAAAATAGAATCGCAATTGCTATAACTATTGTACTCCAGCCGCAGAAGATTAAATGCGTTTATGTTGAACTGAGGTAAAAATTTTTATAATATTTAAGTTGTTTCTTCGAGTATAATCCAATTTCTTCATTTAAAGAAACACGACAATAATGACATTATCTGATAGCCACAGCAATCAACATCTTGTTTTTCATCGCCTACTAACTCAAAAGTTTTAAATCCGTGACATACAGACCTGCAAATAATACCATTTTTCTCAGGAATGGCTTTCTGTAGGCGATTTTTTCAAGACAATTTTTTTTAAATAAAACGACCTTTTCAATGTTGCTGCCCGTTAAAAAAAACATTAAAGTTTATGACCTCTAAAAGGGAGAGATAACCGGAGAAAACTATCACCCAGTATATCGATTTGAGTAAAGCTTTAAGAAATAATACACCATAATAGTCCAAGTAAATGTGCCACATTTTAATGCGGTCGGTAAAAGGATTATGAAGTTATTTTAATTAAATTAGCTTTATTTTTGACAACTTTGAAGGCATGTAACTCAAATAGGTACCAAAAATTTTGAATATGCACAAAAAATAGACATATCGAAAAAACGACAAATTCTGTTCTATTAAAAAAAACAAGATTTTAATCTGTATCATTGAAATGTAACAGTTTACTGCTTTGAAATAGTAAGAAAATTTCCTAAAATTTTGGTTTTTACCATTTTTTCCTAGACAGAAAGTTAAAAAAGACAAGGGGATAGAATATTATGTGAACGACCCTGTACATAGACAGCCACTTTATGTATCTGTTTTTTAATTAGTCGGTTTGAATTAATTCATGAATATATTACTGCGATTACTTAATTTTATGAGCAATTAGACATTTTTAGATTAGATATAAATGTACAATTTTTACAATGATTTTGCTGTTCTTTGTTGTTATCTTTTTTTAACTTCGGTGCACTGAAATACTACTCTCTATTGATTTGTAGTTTAACTACATATTAAATAATTTGAATTAAATAACAAAATGGAAGTACAAAATGAACTTTATTTGTTTTGTTACAATGTGTTTTTATTGCATAGTAAAAAATTCTTCGGCCAATATAAATTCCACAATATTCATAAACACACGTACATATAAAAGCATATTTTCATCACTTGTAATGAAAATCAGACCTGAGTAATACTTTCTTCATTTTCCTTCAACCAGTATTGATAAGCCCCATACACACAAAACCACATGAAGCAGAGCGCAGCTGAAATAAATAATTTACACGCTTGTAATTAACAAAACCGTATTCCCATAACACGTCATTCTTATCAATGAACCAAATAACAAGTCTTATTCCTTAAACACTTTTTAGAAACCCTTCATAAATGATTACAAGCCTCATGACGGCCGAGCTTAGGCAACCAAGATTACACAATTTTTATTGTCAAGGGAAAAAGTCAATTTTAATTATCCGTTTACAATGAACAAGGTCAAACCGTTGCGCATACGCTCAAGCTAATGGTTGGATAGAATGTGAAAAATTACACCAATAAACAACCAATGAAACAGAATATTGTGTATTAACGTAATCTTTTAGTTATTTCATAGAAAACTGATTGAAAATAATTTCATTCCCAAGTAGAACAAATAAGTTTATAATAGCTTTAAGAATATCTATATAACCACTCTCCCACAGGTAAAAGCTTTATTAAAAGATGATGAGAACAGTTATTCAGTATTAAATAAGCATTTATAAATCCAAAATAGGCGCAGCTTATAAAACCATTTTATAAAAGCTGTGCATACAATATTTACTCCACTAATTAGTGTTCTTTCGTTACATTCTTACAGCATTTATAAAATATACTATAAAACCTTTATATAGAAAACATAGGCTGCATAACCGATGTACACTGTTGTCTTATAAAACAAATTTGCTGGTTTGTTGTTTTCTGGCCTGCTATTTACGAAGCTGTATAGTGGTCTCCAAAGAAAAGCTTTATACGTGTTTTATAAAAGCTATTTTTTCAACTTGAACTCGATGAATGTTATATTAATGTTTCCAACAAAACTTTTTAGCAATATAATATATGCGTTTATACAGGGTGTTAAAAAAAGAGTGTAAAATATTTCAGTAGGTAATAGTATGAACCAAAATAAGCAGAAAAGTCTTAATAAACATGGGTCCGCAAAGTAACGGTTGCGGAGATATGGACCACTATTCGTTTTTCAAACATTTTATTTTATTAGGAATAAACCGACAAAGGAAGCTTTTAACAAACAAAAAACAAAGTTACAGAAGATGTTCAAAGTGCCCTCCGTCCATTTCCAAGCAGGCACAACATCTTCGTCTCAACGATATTCGAAC